ATTTTTATTTTTGCTAAAAGGTATTGTATCTTTATTATTTTTTTTACGTCAAAATCAATGTTTCTAATAATAGTTATTACAGTATAATAAATTTGTCTAATAATTCAGAATCAACTTACCTACGTAGCATGAGGCGATCATTACGAATAGTGATGCATCAAACTTCTTACGCATGATATAATATAAAAATTTACGAAGTCGATTTTCAAATATAATTTTCCTACTGATCAAGCATAATAATATTAATAAAATTGATTGATGATTATTAATCAATCAGGTTTAAAGCTTTAGAGCAGGTGTGGTCTATACTATATTTGATTCGTTTCCTACTTTCGAAACGGGATAACCCTAACAGTAAAACCACTGGAACTTTAATGAAATACTAACGCTTAGAATAGCAAACCACTTCAATGATTTGTACGTTGGTTTTTCAATTATATTTTTTTAAGATCAGAAATTATTAAGTTCCACTGTGAATTTCGATTCAAAATCCACCTCAACATATATGTTAAAAATCATTGAGTCTAGTGATTTGATGCAGGATCTAGATTATGTGTTTAATTAGTATGATAAAACTAATACTCAAGATGGCTATAATAATATAATTACTTCCATTTTTATTGCTGTTCTTTGTACGTACGTAGATGCTAATATTAATGTCGCTCATCGCCAGGATTCGGAATGGATCGGCCCGCGGGGTTTTTCAGACTTTTTTTTGGGATTGACCCGTACGGGTCACGGGTCATGGATAAAATTCATATACCGATACTGATATAGATAAAATCTAGTGGGAGTAATCTACATAACCATTAACCCAAATAATAGCTCTAAATGGGTAAGTGCTAACTTTAAAAATCTTATGATTTTCCATATGACCCGGGTCAATACGGCGAAATCAACGCTAACAAGACATGATTATAAATTTTCCGATACGTCATTTACCTGCAATTCCGAATATTAATAGAAATTATAGAAATGCCATTTTCTGAATGATACATTTTTCTAACACTCTATATTATTGATACATCCCGGTCATATGGGGGCCCGAAGGGACCACGGCAAGGTGGAGATCTACTGGGTTATTTCCCCGTAGCGGCGAAATAAGGGTATTATTCTTCGTTTTTATAGGATGTCATGACGGAGTTTTATAGCTCATATTCACTAATCAGTAATGCAAGTAGTGATTTGAATCGGTTGGCCTATAATCGGTTAATCGACCCGAACCGAACAAATTTCGGTTAACCGATTGAGGAAATTCTTACAGCTATTTTCATAATTCCTGAAACACCTGATAAAAATTGATCGAATGATGTTTCGGCTGATTCGATTAAGTTTGTGATTTCGGTATGATCCGTATAATAAAGGCTATTTTTGTATTATGATGATCGTTATCGATCGTTTCAACAATAATGTCAACGTTACTAAATTTTCGTTCGAATGCTTGTTCAACATGCTTGGTGTGTTTGGTTTGTGCGAAAATTTGTAGAAAAGACTGCTCCTGTCAACCAATAAACCTTCAAGAAACATAAAAAGGGTCTGAATATAAACTAGACTTTTATAACAAATATATTACACGAATAGGTGCCAATATTAAAAAGGTTAAATATGAGCATCAATTTGTTGACTGGATTAATAATAAATCTCGAGTTAAGATTCAAAATTTCATTAATATTTGTCGAGAATGCATGAAAGTAAAAATCTTACATATTCGTATTATTTTTATAAAGTATTGAAATTTTACCCAATACTAATAATTAAAACTTAGTTCAAAAAAAGGATCAGAACAAAGTAAATGGAAGTAATGAAAGTATCGAAACAGTGGATTTAACAACCAAAGATCCTTTAGATTGTTTATCTGAAGCTGATAACTTAGAATTATCTGAAGTAATAGCAGTAGCAGTTGAATCAGAAATTGGTAATGCGAAAGAACCTGAATTAAAAACTAGACTAGTAATACGAAAGTTTCTGAATCAGGAATTAGCAATGATAATATGAAAGATTCTGAATTAGGAATTATTAGTGTAAATGAGCCTAATACGTACAAGTATGATCTTCGAAATATTTATTTAAAATTAACTAATGAATATTTTTATTAATATATATCAGATATTATCGTTATAAAATATTTATTACATTAGCATGCTATGATTGGTTTGAAAAACCATATAGAAAACTAGATGGAGCATAATAAATTATCTTCCTCAAACGAAAAAATATATGTTTTTGAGCACGCAATCCTGAAAATTCGACATGATAAAGTTCTTTTGTCATAAGCGGTTTTGTCTAAAAAAACCAACTGACTTGGTGTATAATTAAATTTTTAATAAATTTATAAAATAAAAAACATATATATAACTATTATATATGAATAACTATATGAAATATTACTTTTTTATGTATATATCCAAGTTGGTGTATTGTCATCCAAATGTCATAAGACTAATGTTATGTCCCAACCAAAGTTCCATTTCGAATTGTAATTCATAAATACCAGTCAGGTTTTTCCTTCATTAATACTTTAAGATATTTTATATCATTTGTGTTTAGTTAAGGTGGTTTTCCTGAAAGCGACAGAAGCTTTTCAACACATCCATATTTTTGAAAGTGTTTTAGAACCCGGCTTACAGAAGATATGCTAACACCTAAGTGTTTGGCAATTTTTCGAAAAGATAGGCCTTCTAAATTTTTTCGATAATTTTCCAACGAAGTTGCTTTGAAAGTAACAATAATATTTATATTGGTCACTTGATCTTAAATTACGTAATATATCAATTTTATTGAATCTATCATGCCCGAAATCATTAACCTAATCGAATCGGCCGAAACTTCATTCTTATCAAGTGTTCCAGGAATTGCTGACCCGGTACATTGAGTAATCGGTTGGCAGGATCGATGTATTATGAAAATGATACAAGGAGGGAGCAAAGGTTCCGAAAAGTTCCGAAAAGAAAAAAATGAATGAACATAAAAGATGGGTAAGTTCTGAAGTTGAGACAAAAATTTGAGCAAAGCTCCGAGAATTTTCAATCTCAACCGATTGAAATTTTTCTCGGTTCAAAACACTAAATGCAAGTTGTTTTCCCGGCAACGCTTGTTATTTCCCCGGAAGTCCGGGGAAATAACTTGCATCGGTTTTTTTTACTGATTAAAGTCCGTCATGCGATCTTTTAGGACGAACCTAGCATCGCCCAAGAGCAGTGGCACTTAAATTAAAATTTCCGATAATTCGTTTTTGTATGACAGATAATTTTGTAATTATTACATATCAATATCAATATACAGTATTAGTTTTTTGAACGATACAAATCAATATACTAACCTTTTTGTACGATAAAAATTTTTTCTTATTTTATGAATTCTTTTTGAAAATCGCGTCGAAAGTATAAAGCTTTAAAAGTTTTTCAAGGAAATAAGACTTGTTCCGAATGTTTAGTACGTTTTGGAGATAGTAAAAAACGAAAACATGAAGAAAGTAATGCTGATAACTTGGTGTTGAAGGCAATGTGCTTGATGTGGAAAATAATTTACCAAACTCTTGTAAGCATGGATATATTAATAATAATTTGAAAGTATTCATAGGTTTTATTTTGAAATAAATTAATTTAAGTACATGGATTGATGAAATTCCCTTGGAGATAGAACAAGATCAGCACGAACGATACACTGCAATTGCAAATAAAGTTGTCAAACTTGTTGAGCAAGGAGATGGATACATTTCGATAAGCACGATTCAAATTTGGACGAATATATGATTCATAAACTAGTGAAGAATCTATGATTAACAAAGCAATTGAACTGAAAGCAATACTTAAAAGGTGTTATTTATTAACGCGCATTCTAATGTAGGACATAATTTATTGTTGCGATAAAATGATATACAGTCGAGTCGACACTCAATATGTGCACTCTTTATAAGTGTACTTTCCCTATAATGATAAATGCAATTATCATTATCATTGTATGTAGATTATGCTCCATGAATGAATATTCTATAAATGCACTTTTACCCAAAAACGTGCAGTTATGGAAGTTAACTGTATTGGATTTAGAAATCTACTCTTATTTCGAAATAACGCACATGGGTGTATTCGAAATAACGCGCAGGTGGATTATTTCGCGCTTATACGGTATCTAATGTTAAAGAAATTGGCAAAAGAGGATTTTATTTATGTATATTCAGCAACTTGGTTGGATGGTATACGAAAATTGATTATAATTGTGTAAAGCGCGTGAGCCATCTCGTACATAACTATTGATTTTTGTGTTTACTTAAAATTTGATTGTCCAGCAAAATTTTTCAGGATAGTAACGCTATACAGCATACTACATCACTCACGGCAATATAACCTTGGGTAGTACGACCTCTACGTTATAAGTTGAATTACAAAAATTATAATTAAAATTTAATCAAGTTATAAAATATAATTTACTTTAAAAAAATAAATAATTAATTAAAATTATTCATGCCGTAAGTAGTCACTACTCTGTGAATTGTCTGCATCATTAATCACAATACATTTTCTAACATGAATTCTATTTTTAATAAGCATCTTTTGTAATTTATTCTTTTAATGACAGACTACCTAACATTCTTGATATTTTAAAGATTTTCAAAGTAACTATAGATAACAGCAATTAAACATGAATTATATTTTTTAATGTATGAAACAAAACCATAATACACACATATTGCGTGTAAAATAAGCTAAACATTAAAATTTTGCTTTAAATAAACTTACATTTTATCGAAAAAATTTCCAAACTTACAAACATTCAATCTTGAACTTAACATTAAAAACCTTGATTTTTTTTTTCTTACTTTTCCGAATCAATAAAATGATGATTGAGAAAATATAGGAAAAATCGTACGTCTGTGTGCGAAGAGATCCTTGAAACACAGATTAAGCGTCTGGAACCTTAATTCAAAAGTATTATGACCGAATATGTCCGATCCAATATCTGATGTTATTCTAAACATTCCCAAGATATTGATTCAAACGGATGGAAAGAACATTTTCCAAACAGTACACGAAAAAATTGATTTCCGGATCATTCATCGATCTAAAAAGAGTTCGTCAGTACAAGAGCTGAGCAAGTATAATAACAACAATCCAACGGGGTCTAGAGTCTTTTACTTCATAAAATAAAGTGATGCCGCTAGATAGATACATTCAATTTTCGACCAACCATCATCACCTCCTTTGTTATATCTTACCTCATCGATAATGTTTCTGATCGTATTTTCTAAGTTATATACTGATTCATCTTCATAAATTATTATTATACGCACTTCCCTTTGCGTATTCACCGAACATCTGAGGTGGCACCGTATGGGACTTGTTTTATTGAGGGCGGTAGATATTCATCTTAATATCTTTTATTTATTTCACTCTGGATAGGTGTTATTTCTATAAAGACCAAATATCCAGAGCCAGTATTATTGATCTTGACAGTAATAGAGATAGTTAAATCTAGATTATTTTAAAGCTATATATAAATCGCGTTATCGTTTTCATTGAAATCTTGAGATTCAAAATCATTTGGTTTTAATTTTTTAATGTTATGTTTAGACAAAAACATGTTAAGTTTGCGCTTCATGCCTAAATTTTCTTTGAAGTTTTTATTTATTTTTTATAAAATGGTTTACTCAATTGAGAAAGGAATTTATATTTTGAAAGTTGGATTTTTTTCATGCAAAAAAGTATCACCTTTTTCTTTAGTGATCACGGAATAAATTTTTTTTTATTACTGTATTATAATATTTGAGTGATCGATATATATGTTGTAGGTAGATTCGGAATTCTGTGGATTCGGAATCCACTTAAGTAGATTTCGAATCCAGAAACAACTTAAGTTGAATTCGGATCTTAAAAATATCAATTAAAGTATCAATTAAAATAATCGAATATTAGTAATCATAAACTATACTATTTAAAAACACTTGTACTGTATTTCATGAACGT